TTTATGGCATAATAAATAATACAAACTATGCATGTTTCTTGGATTTATGCAGTAAGTTTGAAAAGAACTGTTGCCTCTATTTAAATATAGATACTACATTCACTTATTGATGTTCCTATCAATAAAGACCTCATATTGCAAAACATATGACACAATAATTCAAGAATTTGTTTTCTTTCTGACGGCCTGTTCAGTAGCCTTTTGCTTCATTGAGTGCCTCTGGGGAGTTAAGTTTGCGTCTCAACATTTTAAAAAGCACATTTTGAAGATGAACTAAAAACAGTATAAAAAAGTGAAATTGGCTTTTCTGGGAGCATGCACGCCATTTTGTTTTAAGATGATTTTGCCAATACTAGCAGCACTGCTCAAGAGTTTTCTTTGGATCTCTATGAGACTATCCATTTTATCCTTCAGTATTGGTCTAGAGGGTGGAATAAGCTTGAGATTTAGATTGAAATCTTAAATATGTATGCAAATTTTCACACCTTTCAATAGTATTGCAGTATTCTTCCATGAACTGAGAAATATTCTTTGTTATCTTAATGTTGTTGTAAATATTAAATTGGTCTTCTTTCATCATGGACACAAAAAAAGGGATTTTGAAACTTGGCATAGAATATTTTAAAAATGCATGAGACAAAATAAGGATACACACTGTCTAATGACATGATAGATACTGGTTTCTTTGTTATCCACAGTTTCAAATGAAAGCGAAGTCATTATGAACAACAATATTTATCTGGTAGGTCTGAGCCCCTGCAGTCCCAGAACTGAATATTTGCCCTTTTTCAGTGACGTAGATTGTAGTTTGATCCAGCTAGTCACATTTTTACATTTCTATGGGTTTTAGTGTCTTCCACAGAGTTTGGTATTGTCTGAACATCATAGTACAAAAATGCTTCTTACGCTAGCTTTAAACGTTGGGAGGATCTGCATTTGTCCATGAGCAGCTTTATCATGTAAATTGGTAAATGCAGAAGTTAACTAGCAGTGATTACTGTCTGTGCTATACCACTCCTCCTCATTTCTATTTCTTCCTCTTCTGAACAGAGTATTTATTTTGTAATGAGCTTAGGTGGGCTACCATTGCATTCTTCTGCGTATCTATGCTCAAGGCATTGGTTTTGCCATTATGCTGCACATCAAAATATAGCAAAAGAGCTAGAGGCTGATGTTCCACTACTGGCTATCAGTGGAAGAAAGTCTTTGTTACCTCTCCCCAACACTGCCACAGCTCAGTGTTGCCTCAGTAAAACTCTGGGAACTACTATTTGAATTCCAGAATTATGTTCCAGGCATCTTGTTATGTTGTTGGTGTCATTCATTCTTAAAGAGTTTATCATTGCTTGCTCCCCAAAGCTGGGCAATAGAGGCATTCCAGTGTCTTTTACTAAGATGCTAGAGCTTAGGGATTTAAATACCTTTTAAAAAATAGGATTTAAGTGCATGTAAAATTTTACTTAGACTTTCTGATGTAAAGTCCTGCTCTTTGTGCTCCCTTCCTTACAGTGTGTTGACAGAGGGAGACATTTCTCTTTCAAATCTTTGGACTTTTATGTGTGAAAATCTGATGTTGATAATTGTGTTAATAAGCATCAGATTCACAACCTTATTTCTTATAAGCAAGAAAGTGTGTCTATCAGAGCAGACCCCAGTATAAAATTCTTTTGCAGACAGATTCAAAGTCTTGTAGTTATGACATAAATGCATGTTTCAAAAGATGGAAAGGAACAGATGAGAACTAAGAACAAACCTTGCAGAACGATCCTTCAACCTTCATCCCTTCCATTGATTTGCTTGCTTTTTCATTCATACATATTGAGCACTTTTCCCACTTTGAAGTAATGCAGTTGTCCCTAACTCATGCCAATAAATATTTTACATTGGATGGTTACTGCATAGACACAGCATGTGAAATTAAGTCTCTTATAGAAACATTAATCCAATTACTTTTTCCTTGTGCAGGTCTTATATTATGAAGACTTTACAATATGTATGGTAGCATATTAGACAGGATATTTAAATAAGAATATGAAATTAAAAATATGTACAAAATAACCAGAAAACATTAACATCGGCATCTGCCTTTGTTTTAATTCTACAACCTAAAGGTGGTATTAACACATGATTATGCATTTAATTTTCTAGTTTGATTAAAAACAATTGCATGTGCTTATTCATAGTTTAAGTGGTTCCAACTGGCTCTTGAAGTCTTTCACTTCAGTGAAGCAAATGGGATGTGGTAGACTTCAGTTCCAGTCTTCATTGTTCATTTCACTTTGACCGATGAGTTTTCTGCAAGCCTGGGTTAACAAGGCTCATAGATAGTAGTTTACAGAATAAGGCTATATAATTTTAAAAATTATTCTTTTAGAACTGATAGCTTGTTGATATTACACAGTGTTACCATTACTGAAAAGTCTCTAGAATTGTAAGGCTTAATTTATTAGCCTTCATTCAGAATACTTGAGAAATGAATTAGTGCATGCTGTTCAGAAAGGATTTTAGATACCATTCAGCCTTACTAAAACTGAAGCAGATTCCAGCTTCCAAATCTTTTTTTTTTCAGTTGCTTATAACTTTTCTTTTTAGTGATCCCAGCAGCCAAGGGGGGATGCAGAGGAGATATGATCTTGCCAAATTTCTTTTGGCTGTTTTAAATGTAATTTTATTCAAAACGTGTTTGGAATTGCATTACAAATTAAAAAAAAAAAAGACAAAGCATAATATCTGAACTAATACAATTTAAGAAGTGTTGAAATTACTTTCTTACTGTGTAGCAATGACTCCCAGCAGTTGGTGGGAAAAAAAAAACCTGAAGAGTTTCTTTCCTCTCTGTTCTTTCTATTCACAGTTACACTGGTTGAAACCTTTTGCTAACTCAGCTGACATACCGGCATTTTCAAAGGCGTTGTGGGAATGTCATCCACTTGCAGAACAATGCGAATAGCTTCGGAGTCTGACCTGTTGTGTGCACAGGGGAATGTGTCACTCTTGAAGCATCGCTGCCTTAGGGAGGCAGCTTGGCAGTAGTTACAATGGCCAATGATGCTACAAAATTTACAATGGCAAACGAAGAAAATTATACATGATAGAAACAGGAGGGTTATTTAGATAGGCATAATATACTGTAGTTACTGAGTATAAATGACTGTGAAAGAAAGGGCCAGATTTTTCTCAAGCTGTGTCTGCTATATACCATACGTTGTATTTAAAGGAGACAGAATCATGGAAAACAATCATAGGCAGCTTGCTGCAGAAGGTGAGGATGTATGGGAGGTAGGGAGCCAGTGAAATGACCAGATAGTCTTTCCGACTTAGAGAATAGGGGATGTGGCGGGAGGAAAAGAAGCTGCCCCACACCATTGGACTTGCTGGCTGCTGTTTGGGTCACCTGGGAATACTGGCAGTTGGCAGAAGCAAAAGCAGCCCTTACCCCTGCAGGCTAACACTGCTTTAGTCATCTTTGCTCTTATCCAGAGTACCTTTGCTTTTCAAAGTAATTAATGATCAAGGCCCAGAAGTAAACACCCTATATTTTTAGAAAATGATCCCACCTGAAGGGTGATGCATTCACAAACACAACGCTTCTGGTCCTAGCGTGGATCATGAGCTCACTCCCATCTCAAAGGAACAGGACCGTAATTTCCTGGCTCACTAAGTCCGTTCCCCAACTATTCCCAGCAACTGTATCATATAATTCTGTTCTGAAACGGAACAAGTTTTATCTAAAACAAGGTTTAAAAAAAAGTTCCGCTCACAACTCAGCTTAAAAGGCTGAAAACTAACTTCAGCTTGGATAGATTTAGGGCAGTTTGCAAAACCAGACTTTGTTGGTATTTAGTATAACCCACTCTGTGACCCTCCTTAGCAAAGGAAATCTGGTGAGATCTTACCCTGGAGTCACAATAGCTGTTTCCCTCTTTCTGGTTTCATTTGGTCTCCCATGGAGAAGTAATAGTCTCCCATGTGACAGTGGGAGAAGGAGATGTTCACCTTAAGGACATGCATTGAAAATAATTCTGAAACACATTTCCTTGCACATAACCCAGCTTTTTCCACTGAAATTACCCTTTGGATTTTAGAGTGGTTGCAGAAATCTGTGAGCAAGTCTTGGGCTACTAAGACCATCAGATGGCTTATACTGTTCTTGAGATTCGTTTCAGTAGAAGGTGCAGGAAATATAGATTTAATTCTTTTATTCAAACTCAGTAGATGGTTTGGGACAATTAATTTCCAATTGTTTCCCAGTAGAGCAGATTTACTTGTATATTAATGAGGCACAGGTGTTAGGCCCCTGGTGCCTGCATGCCTGGGAGGCATATTTAGGTTGTTTATCTAGTCAGCCATAGGTACTGCAAGGTACTCAAGCTTGCCTTTAACAGTTTATACAGTGAGGCTTTTTAATTTTTTGATGTTTTTTTTGAATTTGCTAGCACCTGTTAAAATTTTAAAACTGATCATGTAGAAAGAAGTAGGAGTGATTTCAATAGTAAATAGCACTAAATGTTAAAGAAAGTCATCTTCTATTATGCTTAACTGCCCAGCTTGACATTAAGAAGAAAAGAAGGTTCATTTAAGCAAATATGTCATGTGAGGAGCTAATACAGTCAACAGTATACTTTTCTGTTGCATATTTTTGGAATAGGTACTTCTTTGTCTACAGCTGAAACATGAATGTGCTTATATTAATATTCATTTTTCTTGTTTATTCACTGAACTGCAGTACCAACATTTTAGAGGAAATGGAATAGCCTCCATAGACATTATGAATTTCAGTAGCTGGCATAATTATAGCGATCTACATATTCATTAAATCCAAAGAAGAAATGTGTCCAAAAAGACAGCCATGCGTTTAGAAATGGTACACAACTAAATATATACATTAAAAAAAAGTTCCTTTCCTCTGCTTATCCAAAATTGTGTAGTGTCATATAGTCCTTAAATCAGCTAAGGCTTTTTTTTGTTTAAATGTTCATTCCTTTTGCTTTTGCATGCAGTAAAGAATGGGAAGAACTATTTGTAAACAACAATTACTTGGCAACTATACGGCTGAAGGGGATTAATGGGCAGCTGAGAAGCAGCAGGTTCCGTAGTGTTTGCTGGAAGGTAAGAAGAGAAAATATTTATTTACAGTTTGTGGTTGCAATATATCAACACATTACCTGATGCGCTGGAAGATTATTGATGCAAAGAATCATGAATTTTCCGAGACACTTCATCCCAATGTTTTCCTACTCGTTTTTATAATTCATAGGACATTTGCTAATCATATTGAGTTGCCTTAAAGCTGAATTGTGGGTGATAGCAAAAGATTCCTAGGAAAGAATATCTTTGTGCTGGGTAGTGTGTTTAGAATTGAGTGCCACACAGCCAGCTCTCCTCTCAGTCTGTGCAAAGAAGTCATGCATTGGAAATAAAAGGAAGTTTGTCTCACAATTTATGTTTTGTGGAACTTGGGACTCCTTTAAAATCAGTCTGATGCTTCTGCTAGCAGCTTTTCCCACTGAAATGAGAAAATGAAGACCAATCCCTCTTGTAATGACTGGATAGAGGGGGAAGCCAGGTCCTCCAATCTTAAAACACAACAGGTCCTCAGGGGGCTCTTACTCTATTTTTTTAAAGTTGCAGGGGAAGGAGAAGAGAAAGAAAGTAAAGTAATACTGAGATGCTATATAAAGTCCAAAAGAATTTTGTTGCACTGGCATCAGGTCTTCTGTTCTGCACTAACTATGATGGTAGAGAACATTTTCCTTAGTAGAGCTGCTGTATGTTAGCACTGATAATTTAAATGACCTTACTTGGAATTTCTCAAGCTTCACTTTGGCACAAAGACGTATAAAAATAAAATGAAAATACTCTTTGTATATGAATGAAAGAAATTTGAAATTTGAAATGTGTGTAGCATTGAATAAATTTAAAGTTAATGAAAATACTTTCTTCAGGAGGCCAGATGAATATATGCCACAAGCATTGTTTACCAGTCTGCTGCTTCTTGAGCCTCTAAATTAGGAGGTCATAACTCAAAACCCTGAAGTAAGAAAACCATCAAGTCCCTCACTGTCTGCTAATTCATCAAGGAGTGGTTTTATCTTAGAAATAAGACTGGTTTTATTTGCATGTCCCAGTATGGGTTAGGGCCCTGGTTTAGACTGCCTGTTTTAAAAAGATTATCTATGTTTTTGTTAAGTTCTGAAATATTTAAGTATTTTTAGTTACTTGGGAATGATTTTTGTTTGTCATTTTACTGTTTCTTAACAGTTTGTAATGTGTAAATAAAAACATTTAAAAAGCAAGAAAATACTCTGGTTTTCCTTACTTTATATGCAATTAAATAGTATTCTCCAGTAGATGTTTCTTTCTAAGCCTTTTTAAACAGAAATGTGAAAGAACTGAGATGTAGGCATTCTCAAGGACTTTTTGCAAAATTGTCTCTTTTAACTGTCTGGCAGAATTCTAGAACATGTTTCTTTTCTATAGATTAAGATTTTCCCTTTCCACATTTCTTAGGTAGAGTATATCTCTGAGTGCTTACTTTCTGCTCTGCATTCATATTTGGTTTTAAGCATGTTGCATTAGCTCATCAGTGTTATGTAAATAGCTTCAAGTTTGTATATTTATTTTAATCTCTTTGCATTTTGTTTCTGCCTTGGAAGTCTCAATTAACTTTACTGAAGTTGTGACAGTTTACAAAGCTTGAGTTTGTGGCTTCAGTTGTTTTTAATGCTTTATTTTGTACCATAGAACTGCTTTGTTTCTAGCTCCCTATTTATTGACTGGAAAGTGCTAAAGCCAGGAGTATTTTATAGGTCTTTGCGTTCTTCTTATGTGTCGAGTACTTGCTCATCCTTTCTGAGGTGGTTTATGCTGTCTGGTAGAATTTATATGAAAAACTATGTTAAATTGATGAAACTTAATGGATTTATTTTATTTTGTTGATAGTTATTTCTGGAGGTTCTACCCCAAGACAGAAGTCAATGGATTAAAACCACTTCAGACTTAAGAACTTCTTACACTAAGATCAAAGAAATTGTAAGTTGGTACAAAATAGGTTCTCTGCTCTCATGCTTTGACATAGATATTAATACTTATAGTATAACAGAAAAGGATTTGATTTTTTTTCTGTTTTTACCCAGCACATTACAAACCCTCGGAAAGCAGGGCAGCAAGATCTGATAATCAACAACCCACTCTCTCAGGACGAGGGGGTAAGTTGACCCTTGGTTCTATCAACATGTGCTACTACAATTCTCATCACCTTACTGAAACAAGTGAGTCCTTGCTGAAGAAGGCAAAATGGCAGGTGCTAAAATCTCCCTCCTAAATTTCCAAACTGACCTGTGTTCACAGGCTCTGCTGAACAACCAGAAATGCTCATTTCCAGGTTAATATTCTGATTTTTCAGGTCTTATTGCAGGGAAGGCTGTGATGAACAAAAAATCGGTGCTGGACTGTAAGTCCAGTTTCACAACATATCCTTTCTTTAACTGATATGCTTTTTTATCACTGTGTGTTTTCGTTTTATACATAAAATGGGTCTAGCTGAAGGAGCGTTTAAATAGTCAATATGAAGGGAATGCTGTTAACAACAAATACTGAAGAACCCTCTTCTGGAAGACTGTTCAGCCTTGGAAGTTTTTCTCCAGCAAAAATAGAATTGTTGTATGTCTGAGTTGTATACATGCTGAGTTAATGTGTGAAGTACCAGGCTGCAAGACAGGCATTTCTTCCGAGGTTTTTAATTCTTTTTCTTTATACTTAAAAGAAACAAAAGTTTCTTTTCTAATCAGAAGGCAGTCAGCTGTAAAATGAAAGATCCAGATTTTAAAGAAATACTGAAAATGTGGTAAAAGTATTTGGCCTGACTGTCATTAAGTGCAGAGCAACCAACTCTCATTGAAATTAATAGGATCTCCTAGGAGCTTGGTATTTTCGAAGGCATGACACTTTGAGGAGGGCTTACATGTAGATTTGGGAGCTTAAGTTGGGGCAACTTTTTTTTTTTTTTAACGCTGTTTTTCTACTGCATTTTTTTATACCTGAAAAGCTTTTAAGTATTTTACAGCACATATCCTTAAGCTTTTCTGTTAATTATGTTACCATTTTTGAAAACTCTTTTTTATCAAATTTTCAAAATAGAATAATGCCATGAAAATAATTTGTTCGGCTGCATTTAAGAGATTTACACCTGGAAAGACTGTCACAGATATCTTTGGTGGCACTACTTGTACCTCCATTTTGGTCACAAACGGAAGTCCGTATCTTGTTTGTATTTAGTGTGGTACTCTGCTTCATATTTAACGTAGAAGGAAAGTGAGATTTGCTTGCTGAAACATGGAAGTATTAATCAGAGGCATGTTGGTGGCTCTGCAGCCAGCATGACTGTGCATGCCATCAAACCATTCTTGCATCCAGCCGGACAGAAAGTTGTGTCAAATATAAAAGATTTAAAGTGTTTCTGCTGTAGTTTGTGGTTACACACAGTGGCACAACCTTCTTTCTGCCTGTGATGTCTTCAGGAGGCAGAAGACAAAGGTTAACATGTCAGAGTATGTGTCAGGGGATTAATCTATAAAACAAAGCCACAGGCCAAAATCAGGCATAGGAGTGAAGAGCGAAGTGCCTTTGAGCCTCTGCAGTGACTTAATGTTTTACCCTTTCAGTGTCCTGGGGTTTTGCTTCCTTTTTGCAGTGCAGCTTCTGTTTTCTTCATCCTTTGCTCTGATAGACCGGGGTGGGAGCAGGGGCAGGGGGTTTTCAAAATGGGATCTAGCTGCATCAAAAGAGCTGCGAGTTAAAAAGTTACTAGTTTTACGTAAGAAGTTGTCAAGGATATAAATACTTCTAAAGTTTGGTGTTTTTTTCATAGGTTGAAACACAAATATAGAAGTTAATTAACTTTTTCTTTTTTTGTTATTTTACCTTCGTTCTGCTAGATAACATTAATTTACTTTCTCTTTTTTTTTCTGTGGAGTATAATCCACCATGGCAATGCGTTGCTTACAGGGGAGCAAGAAATTCTGGAAGTATTGTAGCCACTTTTTGTATGTTATTTCATTCACTGGTGCTGCTGCTATCTGACAACTAACCTGCATGAAAAGACTGCTATAGATTTTGTTCCTTCTGTATTTTGATCAATATTGCTAAGCTACCCTTTACAATAAAGAACAGGCTTTACAATACTTTTTCTGGAGCATACAAACAACATTTGCTGACTTCTTTCAGGTTAGTTTTGCAAAATATTGGTAAACAAGGCATGAAAACCAAAGAAACAGAATGGAAATGGTCATCAGCACAGATATAGAAGCAGCTAAACCTACTTCAGACTCTTTTATTTAATATTTTTTTTATGAGGTGACAGTGAGCTTTAAATACCCTGCTTTTCCATATATGAACTTTCTTAGAATGGCCAGTCTTGATCTGCACTGTGTATGTGTACCATTAGAATGATGACATTTTCATAATAGGTATTTGATCATCATACATTGCTTGTTTGATTTTGCCTCCACTAAGACAAACTAGCTTACTTCCAAACAATTTCTCAGTCTGGAAGTTATAGCAGCTTCCAGTTAGGGTCCCTACACTCATAGGAGAAATGTAGTACAGTACGGTGATGCAGACCTTTTTCTGTGAGTGAACTACTGAATTTTTTTCAGTTGAGCTGCTGGTTCTGGTAAGTTTGAATTTACTCTACCTTTCTAAATATTCTTGCTAGACCCCTTACAAGTAACTCACAGACCTGCAGCTATCCAGTGAGCAAATGGAATGAGCCTAGAACAAGGATCCAGGAACCCAAATGTTTTCATCTCTGATCTAAACTGACTTTCTCAGTTGGCTTGGTCACCAACGTTCTTTTTCACCTATAAAATATTGATATACCTACCTACCAGGAATGTTGAGGATTAATTAGTTAATATTTGTACAGTACTTTGCTGACGTAGTATATAAGCCTTAAGTATTAGTAGAAGTCTCTGTTTCATGCAATTATTTTTCCTTCTTTCAGAGTCTTTGGAATAAATTTTTCCAGGATAAAGAGCTTCGAGCAATGATTGAACAAGATGTGACAAGAACGTATGTAGATCTTTAAATAAATAAATATATATACATATATAAATCTAGGTTCTGCATTTTCATGTGGTATACATTATATTGTGTTTTCTTGATTTCGGTTAGTGGAAGAGTCAGGATTGTTGTACACAAATGTGTAGAAACATATATTAAATATATAAAAATACAGCTTTCTTGGAGTGAAAAACAAGAAAATGGAGTTAAACATTAAACCCTGGAGATTTATCGGTATCATTGAAGAAAAGCTCTTCTAAATTAAGATATTAGGAAATGTATTACTATATGAAATTTAAAGTAGAGTTTTCCGTATGAAGCAAAGAGGCGGTAAAAGAAACTGAAAGGTCTTTTGACTAAATTATGACCATAATACAAGATTGAACAGATGACTTTCTTTAATTCTTAACACTTATTCAATCAATAATTAAAAAAAAGCAGTTTGTAATTAGTAAGGGAAATGTCATTCATCTAGAGAAGTTAAGCATTTCTTTTTTTATTTATCACTTTTCTAGTGTTATTTGTCACATATGCCTTTTAAAATTTGTCCTAATATTACTGTGATTATGTTTTCATCTTCTTGGCCCTTAGGTCATTCCTGTTTAGGAACTTGTTTGAGTTAGAACACTCAGTTCCTGAAAACATTTCTTTTCAGAGTGGAAGCATTGACTGATGTATAAATCAAATTAAATTCAATTAGTGGTTTGCTACAATGTGAAATTTTACTGTATTGCAAATATTTTTCCTTATAACTTGAAAAAAGTGATGATAGTCATAGATGTTACAAATCCCAAGCTCACACATTTTCATTTACAGAAACAAAGTCATGCAGAAGAAATCATTGCTGTCTGGTTTTGCAATATTTTATATGTCCATCCCTAGACCCATTCTTGAATGCATTTTGCCATGAGATGTATAATTAAAATCTGAGTATGCTTTCATGTGCATTCTCACAACAGATGGTATTTTTTGTGTGTTAAAGGAAACAGTTCAGGATGTTCTAAGATTAAAATATATACGTATCTAAACTATAATTGGAGAATGAAAAGTTGTAGGGAGGTTATGTTGGATGTAAGACTGTTACCTAAATATATATATACATATATATATATATATATAGACAAAGTCCAGGCTGTCACTCTGGCAAATGGCAGAGTGAGTAATATTCACTAATATCAGTAACAGTGACTAAAGAAATTTCCATTTATGTATTTATGGAAAATAATGTCTACTTGAAACATGAGCAGCATACATTATGTGTCATCAATATCAAAATAAGGCAAACAATGAAGGAGCAAAATTTGTCAAAGTAACATGAATTTATTTGATAAACTACATGCATTTATGTGTACACCTGTTGTTTGCCTAATCATAAAACAGTGTGCATTTTATGTATACATGTGTATCTGTTTCTAAACTATCATTAGTGTAAGAAGCAGAAAGTTCTACATTCCTTGGCTTTGGAATGCAAGTACCCTGTCTTTAATGTTGTCCTTTTAATTTTCGTTCTTTAAATAAATTCCTGGAGTTACAATTTAAAAATTTCTCATTAATTTACAATGCTTTTTATTAAAGGTTAAAATAATTGAGTATTATATTCAGTTACCATAGTCATTACCTTCTAGCTTCTGTTTCTTATTTAATGAACATTTTTATATTCTTTGTCATTGAGTTCAGTACTCCATCATCCAACAGCATCAAGTAAATAATGCTGTAGAGAGTGACGGTAACTGCACAGAGAGTAGCAAACCAGAGTCCCATCTATCAAAGCAGTAAAAAATTTCCTCTATTATGTTTTTATTATAATTCTCTGAAGTGTAGTAATAATAGATGGGAGAAGTGGGTAGAAATATGCTTTTAAAATTGGTATTGGTTTAAATTGTTTTAAATGTCAGGATTCTGTTACCTAAAGGGAACTGTGATAAAGTTTGTGTGTGTGTGTGTGTGTTCATATGCATTTTGTGAATCCTTATCTCACCTAATAATTAGATTTGTAAAACATAGATGCTCACAACTGGACTACTCATTCTTTACAGACTATGTGCCTGAAGAATTTGAGGGCACAAATCATCTCTTCCTAAAGTTAATGTCTAATATAGGTCTGATAAATCATGGTGTAGAGAATCTTCTGTAGTTCTGTAATTATAAAAGGCTTCTAGCTCACCCATACCTAACTAAACTGTAGTCACCTAAAGTCAGGTGAGAGTAATCCAAGCCATAATGTCTAAATATAATTTTTTGCCTGATGCATAGTAAGAACTTCCAATATTTACAAGGGAAGTAGAGAAGGATTTTGTTAAGTTAGTCCTAACTCATTAGTGATCAACATTTCTAATTAATCACCTGACATTTTTTACGGTAGTTGAGAGTTTCAGAATGGATTTTCCTTCAGCTGTCTAGAAACGTGTACTTTTGAGCTGGAACCAAACACCACCTCTTTCTATCTCAAGTGAGAAGCTTTTAAAAATGAGGGTGGATGGAGGGTAAAGGAGGCTTACTATAATCCAAGTAAAAGCCTTACTTTAAATGTAGATAGCAGTACCAACCATGTTATGACTATAATACTGCATTCTATTATTCTACTAAGAAAGGAAGATGTGTGTGAACTAGCACCATAGTAACTCATAACAGACTTAAGAATGCAATGATTAATTACTGTCATTCAAAAGATGTACCAAACAACAATGCTGATTTATTTTGTAGTGATTAAGAAGGTAAGTGATAAAGAAGAATTTTTAAAAATATTCTGCAGAAATGGAAATCAGCAGATTGGCAGATGAAAGGGCATCTAGCTACCAGTCAAACCAAAATACCAGTCTACTTGCTGGCATCACCTTGTACATCTAGGATTGTAAATGGCTAGATTTGATTACCCTCTTTCTCTTTCCAGTATTTTAAGGAAACAAACTGCTTATGGGGCCTTCCCAGTAGACTAATCAAGTGGATTTCTTTTCTTTTGTAGTAGTATTTTTATATATTGGTCTACCTAATTTCTGCTTCAGGAGTAAAACCCACAGTTTAGGACAATGGAAGCTGCGTGAAGATGAGTAGTGGTGGGTGCTGCTGTTTCAAACTCTCCATCTCCCAAATAAAATAAAAAACACCCATAAAAAAGGTAGTGGAGAAGGCATTAGGTAGCAACATCCTTCCTAAGCATATAGAAGAAATGGGAAGAAAAGCAATCCATTCAGTATGAACACAGGAGACAAAACCTAGTTTCTGTGCAAGAGGAGGGCTACTGGAAGGGAGAGCTACCTTTATACACCAGTCTATTCCTTTTCAAAACAAAAGTGAGCTACGGGGGGGCAGTTATTATTCTTTACCAAACCTTTGCAGTTGCGAGAGCATCTTCCATTTTTTCTGGTTTAGTAGCTTTCCTCATTCCAGCTGAGTAACAGAGTTGGGGAATGGCAGGGGGTGGAATCTGTACATGAAAGAAAAGATGGTCACTCTGTGGCTGTGGTTAAGAGCCTCATTTCTGTCTGCCACCAAATTTGTTTCATAAAGTATTTGTGCATTCTTTTATTTGGTTGCCAGCCTAAGTTTCTTCTGTGTCAAAGTCTGGCTGCCTCTGGTGTAGGGGCCCCTAAATGGACTAGAGAAATCTTTTAAAAGATGATTACTGACTCATGCTGGTCTTCACTTTCAGAAAGCAGGGACTTCAATGTGCCATTGTTTAATTGTAGCAGTTGTAAAAAAGGCAAGCAAAATTCCCATGTCCTTACGCAGTCTTTCTCAGAAATGTAATTAAATGTAATATTCTAGTGTTCATGAAAAGTATTCTTACCTTGCCTGATTTGAGGATACTGTATTTCTAAAACAGTGCCTTAATCATAAAATGACATTCTGCATAAAAATCCATCCTGAACTGATAGTTCCCTTATGATCTCTTGTATTTACATTTACTATAATTAATACTTCAGCCAGCTTATTCCTGAGTTCGTTATTATCCTTTCTGTCACAATCTCTGGTATTACTAGATCCTCACAGATATCTCTGTGTATTTTTGAGTTTTCTTTGTTAGTCTTCTTTTCCTAAACTTCATAGGGCAGGCCTGAATAACAGTCCTTCAGAAATAATCTCTTCAAACCCCTAAATTATGTCGATTACCATCTGCTGTAATGCACTTTTGGTCTCAGCTGTGTCCTTCCTTTACAGTAATATGATTAGTACAAGTGCATACAAGTTTCCAAATGTTGGTCTACCATTATCCCCACCAGGTGCCAGGAAAACGTTACACCCCTCATCCCAATGCCTTTCTCAGGGCTTCAGCATTGCTGTGTTTAAGCCACGGTGTCTTCTCTGCCTTGGCTCTTGATTCAGGTCCTTCAGCCAAGGATTACAAAGCACCTTTCTAGCCTTAATTAGTTACGTTTCTGTGCTTACCTGTCATCACCTCTGTGAGATGACTACAGTAATTATTAACGCTAACAGTTTTATCTGAAGTAATTTATTATAATTCCCTATATTGTTTCTCTGTGACAGGCTTTACAACAGCCTTAATATAACTGGTCTAAAGTTTAGCATCCTAGCTCAGACCTGGGAAGCAGGAAAAACAAAATTTGCTTGAGGAAAACTTATCTGCAATCCATGTGAATTCATTTGCAAACTGACAATACTGTAGCCTTTATTTCAGCAATCTAGCCTAAGGCCTAACATTGTTATCTTTTTAAGTACCCTTCTGTTTTCCTTTGTCCAACTTTACCTTTTCCTTTCTTTTTAGTATTCTACCTTTCTGGATTTTTGGTTTTATTTGTTATTGCTCCATATAGCTGGATGTGGTTTGGAGTGGTTGCTTTATGAAACATTTTTTGCCATCTAGTTACTTCTTCAGTAAGCATGAAAACACTTGTTTGTGCACTTACTCATTACAGTACGTCCTACATAACCACTTTATTTCCTACCTCCAACAGTCAAGGAACAGGATGCACAGGTGAGAGTTGCTTCAGAATAGTTACAGATTGTAAATATTTACATTTTCCCGGATTATACATTTATAACAGGATTTTCCCAGAAACTTTTTTCACTTACTCTCACACTAGGTCCACATCATACTGTTTCATTTAAAGGATATTTGCCCTGCCAGAGTATCAAATGGTTTCATAATTGTAAAGTTTATTTGAGACAGCTGCTAAAGACAGTGGAACGCCTAATTATGTTGCATCACAAAAGATGCCAGTAAGATACATTGGAGCTTAGGATACTGGTTTTCATGTCAGTTATGAGATATTTTAATAATCTTGTCATTAAAATGCTAATAATTTTTAAAATGTTTATGAAATTTTGAACCCTTCTGTATATGCTTCTTCTGACCTACTCTTCTTTCTTCCATTTTACTCCAGTTTAGAACTGGAAATTTTACAAACTTCCTTAACATATTGTAGCTCTTGTACTCTTCATTTGCCCAACTTTTGTCTTGAGAAAAACGAAGAGCAGGGATAAGCACTGTTCGTGAAACTGCAGGGCAAACCGATGATCCAGTTACAGTTGCCAACCTAACACAGATTAAAAAAATGGAAGCATGTCATATAAAGTATGTTTTTTCTCTATGGAGATTTGATCTTCAGTGCTTATTTTTCCAGTACCTGAATCAAATTAATCAATAGATAACAGGAAGGAGAGGGTAGATCTTTGCTTCAGCCATTGCCTCTCATTCTGTCTCCTTTCATTCTGCTTCAATTCAACTTGTTTTCATGACATGGAGGAGCAAAGGAACATGATTGTTTAGGCAGGAACATACTCATACGGTACATCATTTTATTTTGATTAGATGCTCCAAGTCATTCATTTTTAGTGGATTGGCTGTTTGTAAGAAGCTGATGATTAAAACAATCTGCCATTGCATTTCATTCTTGCAGATCTCTAGTTTTCATAATATTAGAAGGGATTACTTATTTAAATATAACTGATGATATCATCATATCTATGTAGCGGACTGATGTATATTAAAGAACATGATTCAGAATTTTTGTTGCAAAACAAATGTCACAAGTCTTTAGAAGTGTTCTTATTCTTGCAGAGCGGTGGGAAAGCAGCCAAGGGAGGTGCTGTCCTACCTAAAACCGTTTCTAGAAGACCAGCAATTGAGATTCTGTGCGCTATATTGTTTAATTTTGCTGTATTTCTTCATTTTCAGCTTTCCTGAAATGCAGTACTTCCAGCAAGAGAATGTGAGGAAAATTCTTACAGATGTTCTGTTCTGCTATGCCAGAGAAAATGAGCAGTTACTTTATAAACAGGTAATGAAAATACTGTACAGGTGGCATTCATTGACTCAACATTTTCTATACAGTTTGACAATAATGTAGTTCTTCTGTATCTGAAGTTGTATCATAATGCTAAAGTAATCAAAGAGCGGCTTGTCAACTGGATAGTAAGAAAAGTAAGCTCATTGAATAACATATGCTTTTTCCTCATAAGAGAGTCCCTAAAATTGTTTTCTTTAAGGTTGCTAAGTTATCTAACTTCAAATTTCTTTATAAACATCTTTTTCTTCAGTGTTGGTTAGGAAAGAAAATAAAAAGAAGGGCTTTCTCTGTTTAGATAAAGTATGCAGCAGGATTAAAAATGGTGCTGAATAAACAAAAGACATAGTGACTTCTGAAATTTAGGCAAAGTTTACTATTTTAAGTTTTACATAATATTTTAAGTTCTTCCTCAAAATGCTAAAGCCATGCGGTATGTTAGCAAATAGATCCTTTATCTAACCCTGTAGCATCCAAATATAATGCAGCTGACAAATGCTCTTGACTGAAGGATAAGGGTGCTACAAATACCACTTTTATAGTGTTACCTAAAGGAGAGCCTGCTCAAACCATTTTTGATAAAATGGTAAAAAAAGCCTTAAAGCTGCGCTAACTGTGCATCTATATGGATGCAGGCTAAATTAATTTAACATTTGTTCTGAAGGTTTTGAAGCGAGTGCAAGCTTGATACTAAATTAATATAGCAAGACCAGTATGCAGAGTATGAATGCAAGTGTATTTTATTTGTTTCTTCAGGCTATTAACTGTAGAGTAAGTAGAGACTGACAAACTAGGGGATACTCTGTGTGCATGGGCAAAGGATAAACTGTAGAGCAGCAAACTTCAGGTAGGCAGAAATTTTTTCATGACAAAAATACAGAGGTTCAGAAAATGTGAAGATTTTTATAACGCACTGTATGCTTTCATGCATGGTCTGTGACCACCCAGTCCTCAAGCCAGGAAATTAGTGGCGTTTCTCGAAAAAAACGACACATACGAGTTAAAGGAACAGTTACTTCTGAAGAACTGTCTTACAAAGTATATCAAAAATCAAATTTGTAGTTATCAAACATATGAAATCTCTATCAGCTGGTTATTTCTCATGTTTGACAGACTGTGAGCAAGGAATAGTCTTGCATGAGAGCAAGAAAAAATGAGATTTGTGAGCTGTATTTTGAAGGGCACTGCTAAAGAAAACACTTTGGCAGTATTCAGCCTCCCCTTTCTAGTGAATATAGGCCAGAGTACTGATGATGGGAAAATGGAAGAACACATTCCAGCTAATTTACTCTATCATTCATTGAATAAGAAGTATTATTTTACTCTTTGATATGTCTTAAAAGGACTTAATTACCCTCTGCTCATATTTAAAATCCTCTTGATTCCTTAAGAAGAAATAATACCTTTCTGCATAAGGATGGAATATTTAGCCAGATCAAATTTAAAAAAAAAGCCCTGAGTTTCATCACAAGCTGTTAAAGCTATTATTTTCTACTAGGTGACACCCCGTTTAACATAGACCATATTGTTAATAGTTATGGGATTTTATTGAATTAATGAGACTGTTATCATGTAGTAGAATGTCTTGCTGAGTTAATTGAAACTGCAGAGATTATATAAATGGTATTAATGAACTTTGACTGCCTGATGCCTCAGCTTTAATAAAGACTGCTTGGTGGGCTAAATGAACATAGGCAGATAAAAGAACAGGTTCAATTTTGCGAGCCTACAGGCTGTTGACAAAGAAAACTTCTTTACCTCTGTTTTCAACTGGTGTGCATCAGTACTGCAGTAATTCCAGGAAGGGCTTGCCACAGGACTAAGGGGAGAGGTGAAGTGCAGAAAATCAAATAAATTTTGATCATGAAAAACTGTTGATTTAATCTCTCTGAAGTGTGTTCAGTATATCACCCAAGTCTCATGGTGCTGTGCCAAGTCCACAAAATAGCAAATAATTGTGGTTTTCCTCTCTTGTTGTGGACATGTGTCACTTTTATTAGGAGCTTTTCTTTTTTCTTACCTCATTTTAAAAAGGTGGGTTTGTTTGTTTGTTTGTTTAAAGCAATGCTCCTGTTAACTTATGAGTAACAATCCTGCTTTTTTGTCCCGATGTCCCTCTCTTTTTAGATAACATTTCTTTCATGTCCATCAGTACCTTTCTCTGAATTAGCTAATAGGAAATAGGGTATGTGGTGGTGACAGTGTATGTTTTTTTCCCTCTTTTAGCAAATACCTATGTTGCAGTCAATCTTCCTGTCCTACTATTTTTATTGGTTCTGTTTTTACCATTGACTTAAGCCCCACTTCCCATAATTTCCACTACATCAAAGCCTAGCATACTTTCTTGAAAGTAATGGTTACTATTAATTCATCAATAACAGATCACCTCCAAGCTGCTCCTTCTACAGTGACCTGAATACAAAGTCCAAATTAAGGAGTTTGTCTTCATATTCAGTATTCATCATGGGACTGATCCTGTTGTTCTCTATGAGAATTCCTCTGTCTCGTTTGTATGACCACATACAAGAGCTACATTTGCTATTGGAATTATAACAATTGGCCAATAAATGAAAACTTATACTTCTGTCTGTCAGCCTCTGTACAGGACCCAATGTTTCTCTTTCAAAATATTTGGAAAAAGTTATAGATCCTTGACAATTTGCATGCTTATAAATGTAAATAAAGTGTATCTGAAGTTTACAACTTTTTATTGAAACTATTACATAGCATCAGCATATAGTCTTACAAGAAGCAATCAATAATGTTTGTTTAATATGCATATATGCATGAAAGTTGTCTTTGTAGTGGGGTTTGTGGGTTTTTGACCAGCATGAAGTAACATTTTATTTGATGAGGAAAAAGATATTTCTGTCCCTAGTCAAATGGAGTAGAAAGTTGTGAAGCTGTATTACAGATTTTAAAGACAGAATCCTCACTGGGATTGTTGAATTTTTAAATAGCAGCTGTAAATGTAAAATCTAAAGAGAATAGTATATTGTACTTAAGGATACGTAAAAATTACTCTTAGCATTCTTCTGTAAGACTGGTGCCAAAATTCTGGTCCTAGTTACACTGAAAACAAATAGTGATGATTAAGCTAAATCACTAGGCTAGCTATTGTTCGCTGATGATTTGATTGCCCTTGGAGAAGTCAATACAATTTTGAAATGCATTGATTCACTTTTCATTGTAGAAATGCTATATTTCTGGTTTTCTTTCTAAACCATAGGCTGTATTATGAAATCAATATTTTGTTGTAGCTGGGAAGTGTCATAAAATTATCTGAGTTCTGTCAACTTATTTATTAACACTAAAGAGTTTTAGTAAACTGCAGCATTGAAAAAATATGTGTATGCATATTACACTGGTGGCTTTTCTTGCCAAGCTAAAAATCTCTAAACATTTGAAGTACACTTGTAACTGAAAGATCAGAGGTATCTTTTTGAAATCCTGATATTTAATCATCTGTTTGTTTTGGTTTTGTTGTATGTGGGCAGCCACATTATGATTCTACTTTATTATAAAGTTGATAGATTATTATGTTGGAAGAATGTATGATGTGCTTTCATCTTTTATAACTAATTCTTATTTTATGTCCTCTTTCTTTTTCTTCAGCTTATATGTTTACAGCTTAGGTGGTAGTTTTATTAGACAGTCAAGTTTTTGGCATTTCCATTTCTCTTATTTCATGTTAGTATATCAGGGCGAATAAAAGATTAGACATGGAGTTGTTAATTAACCGAGGGCTGTGAGTATGTATGAAAGTACAACCCAGGTTATCTACAGTTTATTTAAATATTTTTGCCACTTATATTTGTTGTCTAATCCTGGACCTACCTCCCTGTCTGTCTTACTCCTTTCCCTCTTGGTATGACCATAAGACTCTGAGAAATCTAAAGCTGTCAATTTGTAGTCTAACCCACGTTGTTGTGCCTGGGAATTTTACGTCAGCTCCTGAAATCTAGTGGCTACATTAGGTTTAATCTTTTTTTTTTCCTAACTGAATTTCTATTTAGTCTTCATCTTTCAAAGTAGTCCCTAAAAGTTCAGAAGTAGGAAGAGAAGGAAAACATCCAAACTTCAGTAGTGTCACTGTCTTTAGCTTTTCCCAGTCAACTGACTGCTATTGCTGCAACCCTACAGTTGAGGTTATAAGTCATCTCAGTCCTGGAGAAATTAAAATTAAATTTCCTAGGATTTCAGTTGATAGCACACAGAGAAATTTCCAAACCTCTTTTTTTTCCTTCAGCGCTGCTAGGTATTGGAATTTCCTCTTACAAACAGATAAGATTCACTAACATGCATCTGAGCACACTCGAAATAGATAATGATCTAGAGAGGGCTTCCACATCTACCTCTCTGCTCAGCTTGGACCACTTAAGGAACACCCTATTATTTCCAGTAACAGTTGAAGGTTTTTAGTAGTTAATGGATCTGTTTTATGCATATGAAGGTGATAAGCTAACTCACTGATATTGAATACTCCTCAAATGCTACATGGAATATCAACTGATATACCAGCAAAGCAGCAGGGTAGCCGTACAGGCAAGTCTTCCGTTGCTCACGTCTGTCCATCACTGAAAGGGCTGGAAAAGCAAGTGGAGAGGCTTCCTAGCTTGGAACTGCAAGCCTAAAAGTAGAACAGCTCCTGTCTGGGGACCCGCCATCTGACTACCGACAGCAGCCTGAAATGCCTGTGAGCTTGATGGGCTAGCCCCAGTGCTCTTTCTGCCAACAGGATAGACAAGATGGTCTTCCTGGCACCCTCTCTGCCCAGAGCAGTCACCTGCAGTTGGGACTGAGGCTCCACTTGGTGACGTAGTTGCAGCTTTGAACGGCAGCACTGCTGGCAGCACACTCTTCCTTCCTCCTACAGCCGGGCAAGGACTTCACCCAGGGTGAGACCCGGCACGGGTAGCCTGGGTGCCTGGCACCAAGCCCCAGCTGTAGTTGGTGGTTTTGGGCTGAGCTCAGGAGTTCCCTCCCCTTGGAGTGATCCCTGTGTCCAGAGGCAGCCAGGCAGGTCTCCACCCTTCATCCCACATCCCTTCCACCGCCAAAGGGCTCCCCTCACTTCTTTTGTATGGGTGACCCCCAGCCCAACGTGTAACTTGCGTAGTTCCTACCTGCCGTCCTAGTCTACCGCTGGAAGCCCAACTGCCCTGACATAACCGAATTCCCCAGTCATGTTACGCCAAATCCTCCTTTTCCCTGATCTAATCTGAGGGAAGGGGCTGAATATCTGCTGAAGATGAGGTTTCATTCTGCAGGCTATAGTTTTACCTGCCAGTGTGTAGCTGCTTGCCAACTGGATTGTTTGTTTCCTGAAGCGGTTGCTTCTGCTCCTGATAACAAATTGACAAGCCCCAGGTGAATCAAGGCGAATCAAGACTCCTTTTTTTTCCTGATGAGCTCCGGGTAAAAACACCAATAACTGGCCTGGGTAGCCCAGCCATGCCTCTAATGCTGGCCCAAGTCCTCGACTATCCACCAGTTTTTTTCTGTTCTGATGCCTGCATGTTTCTGTATTTTTTCTGTATCTTAATATAGTTTGCATATCTAAGTAATAGTCTGTAATGGAACAGTCTCCTATGCATTGTGTTAGTATAAGTTTATTTTTAATATTGACATAACAAATTAAATGAAAAAAACAAAACCCAAACAACTCATTGATTTCTCATGTCCATAGGAATCATAGAATCATAGAGTGGTTTGGGTTGGAAGGGCCCTTAAAGAACATCTAGTTCCAACCCCCCTGCCATGGGCAGGGACACCTTCCACTTGATCAGGTTTCTCAAAGCCCCATCCAACCTGGCCTTGACCACTTCCAGGGATGGGGCAGCCACAGCTTCTCTAGGCAACCTGTTCCAGTGCCTCACCACAATTTCCCAGATAGCTGCCCTTGTCTCCTCTGAAGGCTATTGTTATGCTTTTATCTATGGTTTTGGAACATTATCAAATAAAAAATAATTCAAAATTTTGTAATTTGTCCCTATTGCAGATCTTTGTACTGTGGAACATGATTGTAATTATCATAAATAAAATTCATATTTATGAATTTTGATCTTGGAGTAAACTGCCAGGTGCAGCATTGCCTACCATTGCCAATTTGTTGTCTGTTGTGTTCGAAAAAGGGAGAATAACTTGCTTCTGTATATTATAGAAGAATAAACACTTGGATTTAATCAGAATTTAAGATAAAAGCCATTGATTATGAAACCATTCTGTTAAGAATGTAAATGTTCATGCTTTTAGTTAGTCTTCACCTAATATTGCTGGCTGCCTGATGATATGCATTAGGAACTATTATATGACTGGAAAATCTTACTATACTTTTGCTTCCTTTTATGTTTAGGGTATGCATGAACTTTTAGCTCCCATTGTCTTTATCCTGCATTGTGACCACCAAGCTTTTTCACATGCCAGTGAAGCTGCACAACCAAGGCAAGCATTGTATTTTATTTGTATAGTATTAAAAATCTGCTTTCATAAAAAAATAAGTAAGTTGGCTGGACTAGAACTTAGAAACATGTCTTACTTAATTCTTTGTTTATAATTGATAAATTGATGTCAGAAATTGTTGCCTCCTTATGCTTTGATGGGAATGTCCTTATTTCATCTTCCCTACTACAGCTTCTGAAAGGGGAATTAAAAGTGTAGACATTGGCCCCTTCACAGATAACAGCTGGCAAAAAAAGGGGAGACAAGAAACCTAAGGAAAACCTTAATCGAAAAGCTTACATAACTACCGACCGCTTCACCTCATTCTTATTGCCAGAAGTGGTTTAGTTTTTGTCATTGCAGGTTGGAAGCAGATTAGAGAACTACAGTCATAGAACATGTTACCAACTCTCTTTTCCTCATATCGTAAAGGAAAAAAAAATCAATGTAGACGAATTGTTGTGATTGATATTTCTTTCATCACCTGCAATGTTGTAGCTGCAATATCTGACTATCTTTTGACTTGGTAGTAACATTAAGTTTACCTATTGATTCTCTATTTCACTCAAACTGTGTGTGTGTGTATGTGTGCACGTGTAATCATACACATATATATATAAAATATTACATCACACATGATTGTCTGACAACCAGATTCAGGTGCTTTTTTTTCTTTCCCTATATGTAAACCTTTTTTTAAAAAAAAAAAAAAAGTTGCCTTCTTGTATCTCTTGTGATATTTAAGTAATTTCTTTTCATCTGTCTTTTTGCACTCTCTTTTGGAGTTCAGCAGTGAATAAAAGCCAATTTAATTACATATACTGTATAATGTAACCTCTGTTAGCACCCCTCAACGTGATTGTCCAAAGGCAGTTAAGCATAAGGATGGAGATTATTTACAAGTGCGTGTTTTTATTCAAAGTCTGTCCTTAGATATCCTGAAACTACCTAGAAGATGCTCTTCAGTGCTAAGTAACTTAAAATAACCATGTGTTATGCACAGCATTCTGTTCCATCCCCACTGAAAAAGTAGAGCTAAGCAGCAAAGTAGATGGAAAAGGGGTGCTGTCACTGATTAATTGCTGTTAAAGTACAATAAAAATACAGGCTATTAAAACAAAATAAATTAATGTTTTGATACTGCATATTTGACCAGTAACCATATTTTTTTTGTTTGGGACAAACAGTGATAGATTGTGCAGCAATCAATTATTCTAGATCAAGCATATTCAAATAATACATTGTGACATTCAGTAATTTGTTATTTGGAATAATTAGATGGTTACTTCATTGTAGTGCAGACAAGGCAGCTAATTTGGTTTTGATCTTTATAAAAAGGAAAGACTTCATTTGTTCAGTGGAGTTGCTCTTTTTAATTAAAAAGGCTAGTTTTCTCATTTGCACTTTATATGAAAGTTGGCTTATAAATACATAATAGTACATGCAGAACACTGACCAAAAATAAACATTCACATTTGGATTGTTCACTGTTGCCTTTTTCAGTGAGGAAATGAAAGTTCTTTTGAATCCTGAATATCTGGAACATGATGCCTAGTAAGTGTTAACAACTTCCTTTACGTTTAGTTTGCTCTTATTTGTAATACATTATTTAACACCCAGTTTCTGGTTTTTTCCCCTTCAGTGCAATGTTCACATGTCTTATGAAGACTGCAGAACATTGGTTTTCAACTTTTGAACATGACAGTCAGAAGGTAAATATTGCTCTAAAATGTTTTTATTGTATTTTTAAGCAAAGGTGATTTTTAATATGATTCAAGTAATTTGAAGCTAATAAGGCATCTTCTCTTAAACAACTTGGTTAAAGCAGGCTCAAGCAAGTTTACATTCTTTAGAGGTTCTTCAGAACTTGGTCATAAGCATGTGTGGAAAGTCTTCCAGTTGAGAGTTTCTATCTGTTGAAAGATCACTTGGTAATCAAAAGCCAAATGTGCAAACACAGATTCACCTATCTATGAGTGATGTTCTTGGGTAGCATTCGAAAAAATGCCTGTCATAGGCACATCTACATGCCCAAAACCTGTGCAAATGTCATGTTAAATAAATGTATATAGGCAGTGTTCAACTTATTGAGGCTTGAATTGTTTTCAGCTGTTTACAATATAAACAATTTGCTGTGAAACCAAAACTTTAATCATAGCCTGTCCATCAAAGGGCAGGGTAAATTTTCCCCTGACTTCATCACTCCATTTCCTTACTTTATTTCTTCTTGACCTCAGGGTATTCAAACAGAGGGAATGTCTGTGCCCTCAGATATCCTGTGTAGCTATACAGACACCACTGTATTTAGTATGTTGCTTCTTTGCAGGGACCTTCCAGGGACTATCTAGTCCTTGCCTGTAACCGTTTTTCATGCGTGGCATGAGGGACAATTCCCTCAGTCAATTGCTCAAGATTTCCTTTGAATATTTTTTCCTGTCTCTTTCCCTGTTTACATTTCTGTCTTTTTTTTAATACTGAAAAATGATTTGTGTAATGGAGTGTATGTAGAAGGCTCTAGCAAAACATAGCTATGTTACAGGTATTGCCAAGACTTTCAGTGTATTATATTGTAAAAGAGTTGTCCTCCAAACTTAGTTCCAGCTTGATTCACTTCAGCATTTTTCACATAGACCGTGGGGTGGGTATCTAGAGTTAACAAAAAATCAGTAAGAAATTGGTTGGGTTTGCATGTCCACATGTGTGCACCAAAACCTATATTTGCAAACTGTAATTAGAGAGTACTAGTTTGAGAGGTGTTTTTTTCTTGTCTGTTGAGGGAAAAGGTGTTCACCCAAGACTCACTTAAAAGCTTCTATTTTCTTTAAATGTTTAAATGTATCTGTGTATATATTTTATTAGACATGGAGCACTGGCATCTTGGCCTAAGCTATCTACAGTTATAAATTACTATTTGGATTTGGGTTTTTACATAGTTCTCAGTAACTAAGGATAAAGCATATGAGATACAAATTTTATGAACTTATTACATAGTCACTTTTATTCCAGGAACAAAGCTGAGACATGTTTCTCTGAGTGTAGCTTTTCAGAATTCAGTATATTCAAATGCATTTGAATGTTCCAATTTCTGTGACAGAGGTGGTAAAGTCTGAGGTTGAATTTTATTCTGGGAAATAACTAGGTCTCCTTACAGATTTGCAGTACTTGGGTAGAAGGTGAAAGTTTACATTGCCCTTTCCAGTCCTTTCATGGCATAAAAAATTAACAATGCAAAGCGCATGGATTAATATCTAGTTGTTTGTTCTTGTTCTTTGCAAACATGTATAATCTTTAATAATCCTTTCTTGTACGTATGCCTTTTACAGTCATGACTTTGAGGGTAAGCTACATAATAAAGTCTGAATCTTCACAAAGGAAGCAATGAAAGCATGTGCTCTGAGAGACATGTTACATTTTATAGCCTCTAACAGTTGGTTCCATTACTCCCAATTGCCATTAGAGGAGCTTCTCCAGCTACTCCATTCCCTAGTGGTTAATGAGAGAAATCTGTCCACGGTTTATACTTGTACTATGTCCTAGCCTCTCTTTACTGCTGTAGCATTTGTTTCCTAAATGCATGAATATATAAATTGTATTAGTATCGAGTGCCAGCCATTCCAGTTCATGTTGTGGTAGGTAATGTTTTGTGGCAGGATTTAGTGACTCTGTTCCTAATGCTTGATCTGAATTTTTCAGCTTCATTTCACTGGTACCCACATTTAAACTGTTCTTAGAGGTGAATCTGATGCTCTCCTGTAAACAGTATAGCATATCTCTGAGCCATCCCTCTTTTTGTCTTTTTATTGTGAACTGCATCCCTTTAGGATTGATCATTTATATTTTGTGTTAGCAGTAGATGACTAAACCCGTGCACTTAATTTTTTTCCCAGACTTAGAAGCTCACAAAAAGAAAACGGGTGGTTTTTCTCATCTGACAACTTAATATATACTGAGTATGGGCAGGGGCACAGTATCATGTTGTCCACTTGGCTTCTGTGCTTTAGGCACAGGCACTGTGAGTCACTTCTAGTTAAACATTTTGGCGGCCTAGTTGTACTAGGTTATTTGAGCATCTTTCCGTTTGGGCTGTTTCTTTCACACCAACTGATGTGATATTTTGGAGCAATTTCAACTGACTAAATGTATTGTCATTTTCTCAACCAAATTGTGTGAGAGGAGACAACAGACCTATCACATGCACTCTAGTCATCCACTGAGTTTCTTGGTGGAGTGCACCAAATCGGGAGGCATGGACAGTCAAGGCATTGATTATTGATTGCAACTGCTGTCCCCACAGATTCTGTCATGCTTTGAAGATTTCAATTAATGGGGTGAATTTCTGAGATGCTCATGAACCGCATTTTGATGGATACCATTTACTTATCTCATGCTTTTAAAAATGGCAAGCTAGCATATATTATTTGATGCTCTTAACCATGTTGATAGTCAGTCAGTCTGACAGCAATGTGTCAGTGCGGCATTATGCCAAGGTGCACAAATGCTCTAAGTGACAAATAACTCCAGTTTTGGCACTCCTCCGTAAGAGGAAGCTTGCATTAGTTTTGATACTTAGAATCTCTTGACGCTTGAGCCGGTGTTTAAGGGTCTGTCTTCTAATTTCGTAAAGATGGCTTTAAACGCACAGACAACTAATGATATAAAGGCTAATCTGAGTAACTAGCTAGTCTTCTCATATTACAAGTTCAAATAAGTAGAAAGATTCTAATATTGAGATTTCTATACAAGAATCTATGCCTATAATCAAGGAAACTTTAAAAATACAGAACTTTTGAGTCGTCAGAGTTGAGTGCATGCAGTGGTCAAGCTGAAGTTAAACTCACATTGAATGAACAAGAATACAGTTCATACCCCATATGTGTGCCAACTGATGGACCATGCACAGTCTAGGAATATAGAGAGTTACAGACTGTTATGGTTAGTTTCAAAGGTAAATTGATATGTACATGAAAAAGATTACTATAGACTGGCATTTAACATTAAGGCAATGTTATCATATCATACTGTACTTTAGGAGTGGGTTTGTGTATAGATTAGAAGGAGATTAGTGGATACCCTTTTTCAGTATTTTGCATTCTAGCACATGACCAAGAAAACAATGAAATGGGTCCGAAACAACAATAGGAAATAGCCATACAGTGGAGAAACAAAAATCAGGATAAAAAGAAGACTATCCAATTTGGCGATAAAGAAGTTAATGGAAAATTAGAAAAGGAGGTAGGAGAAATATCCTTTCTCAATGTACCTGCAGCTGTGAAGAACTTTAGTGTTTAAGTAAGCAATGGCATTGCTTATTAGCCCCTAAGATGGTAGGTGTTTATTTTAAATTTCTGTTTGGTAGAACAGAAAAAATTTTGAATGAAAGGATGCCATTTCAGTGAACTTTATTTGACAGTCTGAGGGAGCTTTTGTCAAGCCATTTGCTAGGGCATCTTAAATGGATATATTTTGGTACCACAAAAGCATGGCAAAACCACTGCACTGTAATAGATCAGTCCCTTTGCTGCAATTGCCATAGCAAAGCAACAATTAAGCAGATTTTAAGGTACAATTTATAATCAATCAGTTCTTTAAATAGAAACATTTTACCTGAAATCACTGCTAGCATCATACCATATTTTCTGCAGTACAGAAGTGGAATAATTAAGAAAAAATATTTCAAGCAAAGGAGATCAGCATAAAAAATAGGCTTTTTGGTAGAAATTATTAAGTTTTCGCTGCCGACTTGAATGTTAAACCATGTTGTAAATGACTGAAAAATGTGGGTACTTCTCTTCCTTCCTCTTAAAATGCTCATACAAAGAGAATGGGGTTGAAGAGGGACTATAACCATAGGAAACAACCTTGGGGATAGTTTATACAACAAAAAGATCCTTTCTTTGTTATTGAATTTTAAAAATAATGTGCTTTTCACTGTATTGAACCAAGTCAATTTGTCTTTCAACAGTTTAAGCTGTAATGAAGTCTTCTGAAATTATTTACCCTTTGACCTTGATAATGCTTCTCTATCAATATACTGAGCAAAAGGGTAGAAAAAACAATAACTATCTTCTAAAATGAAGCTTTCAGGTCAGAGAGCCATAATGACAGATTGTAACAAAGTCATTGCAAAATCTTCTCTTCTTACTGTTCCAATTTTCCCTCTTTTATAACTTTAACATTGTTCCTGACAGCTTAATTCTCCATTTCCCTTTCCCCAATCTTTCTCTTGATAGGTTTGACTTGTTCTTTTTTATTTCTCATCCTCCTTTTTACATGTTTCCTATTCAGTGCAGTTCATTACTTGCTGCATTTCTTTCTAGCATTCTGTGTCTTTTTCAATAATACTTCACTCTTTTGCAGGAAGAAGAAATTTAAAAAGCATTATCAGGTTCAAGGATGCTAATATTTCAGTAGTTTTCTTCCTCTGTGTTCACTCGGTGTGTGTCATGTTCTAGATCATGACATAGTTTGCACAACCTTTAGGTCCAACCAACTACCTTCTAACCATCAGCTTCATCTCACTGTTCTATTTCTTTTTTGTTTTAAAAGTTTTCTGATGCTTTATCAAAGTTGCATAGATTTTGAGGTACAGCCACCAGATTTTCTGAGTAAGGGAAGCCTGTTTAGAAAGGATTGTTCAAAAATAAGTTCTTTCCTATTTGGTATGCAATTTATTGTCCTCTGAGGGCATATATTCTCTACTAAGTTACCATTCTTCTGCTTTGCTCTGGAATGACTCAGCCTGCTGATATTAAAGCTAAACTAAAGCTGTCAACATTTTGTCAGAGCATGAAAAGTAAAGCACACACGTAAAAATTGACGCGCAGAACGAGGGGATGAACCTTGGCACGCCTGGGAAGGGGAATCCCACAATACCTTCCACAGAAGTGGATGCTTGACATTACTCTTTTGCTGGAAAAGAAACAAATTATTAATATTTTTATGTTTCTTTGGAAGCCAATGATTACAACAAAACAAAGCTCTTGTAGACAATCCCTGTAGACAATAAGGCTTTATGGGATGTTCTTTTCTTTCCCCTGTTTTCTGTGTCTACAGGAGAAAGATGTGATGATTACACCTATGCCATTTGCAAGGCCACAGGACTTAGGCCCATCTATTGCTATTGTAGCAAAGGTAAACCAAATTCAGGATCATCTGCTGAAGAAACATGATATTGAGCTGTACATGCATCTGAACCGACTGGAAATTGCTCCACAGATTTATGGACTGTAAGTGTTTGCAAAGCATTATTTAATTTAATTTCTTCTGTTTTTAATTCATTACATTAGGACATTTTTTTCCTTAAATTTAGGGTTAGAGGAATGGGACTAAAAAGAAGTACTGCTTCTCTCTTAGAACTTACTCAGTTGGCAGCATTACAGTAAATGACACCCCACTGTTGTATTTGTGGCAGTGGCATTTCCAGTGCAGATAAAGTCCATTCAGCTACATATTAGAGAACTTGACGAAGACTCCCAGTGTAGTGACGAAGTATGTACTGAATCGAGTGCTTATTCTACCTGTGGTTTTCCTATAAGAACGAATGGGATAACAGGACACAAAGAAGCGGGAAAGGGGAAAATTATTGTCACTGAATGGTTTATTTACTTAATTTTATCACCAGTTCAGTATCAGGGAACTTTCCTCTATTGCAATAACGGGGTTTTGAATACTGGTAATTCAGGCGTGGTGGGGCATGTTAAAAGTCAACACATGGAGATAATAAAGTGTCTGTACGCAGAGTCAGCCCAGCTGGTCCATTTTCCATTAAGCTGGCTCAGATCTGTTCAGCTGGTTGTATTGCGTGCCCCCGTTCCAGGGGGGCTTCTCAGGCCAGGCGTGACTTTGGATGTGGCCTTGTCCACGTGTTTGCACAGCATTGCATCCAAAGCAGTTATGTCTGCTATAGTCAGTCTGGGTCAATACAAAGCGGGCAACTTGGATGAGCCATGAGTAACTGTGAATTGACTGTGGTTTTGAGGAAGAATTTTGCCTTCATTGTTTGGAATTCTAGACATTTGATTCATTTTGATCATTCCTTAAAGAAATGGCAAGCTTTATGTGCAGTTGCAGTGGCAGAAAAATAACACTTTCAATTTTTTTTTACTTTTTGCAGTGATGGTGTGAATTTCCAAATATAATTGTGAATTACATTTAACAACTCAATAGAAAGTGTAGAAAGGGAGGGAGGAGGGGACTGTGTAAATGTCAGGCCATAACTGCAATACTTAAGATTAAAGTCTAATTTGATGTTACAGTAAAATGGAAAAATGCTGAGACATCGTATACCCTCAAGAGGAGAGTTGAACTAAGACTAAGTAGTAGTCCCAGACTTACAACTAACATATATTAGGAAGATAAATGTAGTTCTACAAAACTTATTTAAGTAGTTTTGATAGGAATGGGTTACAGGGAGTGGAAGAATAAGCCAAGTAAACTCAAGGTATTAAAAGTATGAAGAGGCCAGATTGTCCTATTATAGTATTTTTTGCATAGTGTAGAGTTGTGTATTTTCTTAATATCTTCACTAGTCTGGAAGAGAAAGCAAGCATCCTTAATAAACTTCAGGGGTAGTAATGAATAAGTAGGCAGTATAAATATCAAGGAAAACAAAAAGACGGTGTTTCTTTTTTATGAAGGCTTATGAAAACACACAGAAAATAAAATAAGATAAGCCTCAGAAATTTGCAAACATATTCTGGGGCAAAAATAATTTGTACTGTAGGTACTTACTTCAGTATAAGACTTTGCCTTTCAGTAAGAGAAATAATTGAAAGAAAAAATTAGACTTTAGCTCAAAACATAACATTATAATAACAGAAGATTGGTGCAGTCTGGTGTGGCATAAATAGAACTGAATCTGAATAAAGAAATTTACAGTTAAGGGAATGAATTATGAGAGAGAGCTTCAGGCTGACTATCAGGAAAACCTTACTAAGAGGGAGCTGTTAGGCTGTAAAATAATATATCAAAATTAACAAAGGAAAAACCATCAGAATATTTTAAAGACAGGCTTTGAAAAGCTCTCACAAATGGATAGTATCATAGAGAATGAGTCTGCATTGGCAGAAGAGGAAAGTAGGTTGCCTGTGAGGTCATATCCTTCTCTGATTTCTGATTTAATATAGAGGACAGGAGAAAAAGAAAGGGAAAGGAACATGACTGTGTTGTATTATTCTCACCTTTAATGATGTCTGAACTCTTCAGAATAGTAATTTCCAGTAGTGAGCCAGCTGACAGTCTCAGATGCTGGATCTTTTCCTGTATTTAACATTTTTTGAACTAGAAACAGCATTTCTTAAACATAATAGGTTATTAATAATTGCTAAACCTAACCCAAGTGCAGAATTCATGTGAGCTTTTTGTTGAAGTTTGTTGTTTTGCTGAAGTTCGTTGGTTTTGCCAACAATAAATATTCATCTGTCAGCCTTGATATCACTCAGAAAATATACAAATGGTAGAAGGAAGAGTGGGAACTTTCCTCAAAAGATATTATGGCATTCCTGGTGAAAAGTATCAACAGGAAAGGCTTCTGTTTAGTGGCAGTGTCCCCTAGCCTGAACAAGTTATACAGTTCACTTATTTAAAAATACAGTATTTTATACTTTGCATCCTTCTATAACCTTCTGGGGCAAGCTTACTTACTCTGTATTTTCATACAGTTGATTTCAACCTTTGATGTTTACAAATAGTCCTTTTATTTTTCAAACACCAAGGAGACTTGTTCTGCTGGGAAGCCAGGTACCCTAGTGCGTTGTACATTTTCACATTCAGAAACTGTCCTTTAAAATAAAATGTGGTTACACACTTCTTGAAATCATGCTTACCTGCTTACGAGACCAGCTTTAACAGGCATTTCAGTACGTGTGGTATGACTCATTAATTTAGGTTGCTGTCCAGTAGTGCAAAAGTTGTATGCTGGTTTTGTGGAAAAGTATACTCATTATAGTGTTTATCATATCAATGTTAAAAATCTTTATTTTTTTCTTCATCGGTTAGTTCTCTGCAAACCGTGGTGTCATTAGCCTCAGCCTGGTACACTAAGTTGCACGCTGGGAGGTGCCATCAGTTCAGAAGAAACTTTTTCCCTAGGTAGTTTGCATTTTGTAAAGTTTTAGCTCAAGGGAGTGGATTTCTGTATCTTCTGGAGGGCATGAGTGAACACACTTCACATTACCTGGCTATCTCATTTCATTGCTGATCAGAAAGAGGACTCTGTTAGGTATAGCAAGGTATAGTAGGGTCCTGGCTATGCCATACTTCTGTGCTCTGGTCATTCAGGTTGGTGTCATATACAGTAGGAGCCTTAGCACAGGAATTTCTGTAGCTGGAAATTTTGTGAGACAGCACATTCATTCACTTGCAGTCAGCCGCTGCGTATCCCTGTGGTAATTATTCAGCTGCTATTAATATCAGCCAAAATGGAACCAGCAATACAGAGATAAAGGCTTTGTGCCTTATCATTCTTCAGTCTTCTTTATTTGCCGTGTCTCTAGCTTGTTTTTAGACCCTAAGATAATGTTTTGCAGAATAACATTGTTCCACGTTCCCAGTAGCACTGCGAATTGCATACAGTCTAAGCAAACTATAAGAATTATCTAATCATATCTAACTTTGTACTTTGTAAACTAAAGCACAAGAATGGTTTGAAAATAAATGGAATTGATTACAGTAATAATTCAGTGACATGCTTCCTGATAATAAACTTTTCTCTAAATAAAAACAAAAAAATGTGAAGATTGAACAAAAAGATTGGATACTCTGAAGGGTTGACGGATCGAATATCCAGTTTAATTGTAAAATTAGATGAGTTAACAATGATTAATGTCCTAGATTAAATGGTATTCTAGTGTTAATTTCTTTGACCCTTACATCTAATTCATGTTAAACTACAAAATAATTATTGCAAAACCATTCTGCAGTTTCTGCAGTGGCCAGTGTTTGTAGTGGCAAATTAAGCAGGTTGTGCTCTCAGTTTGAGAAAGGACAAGGCTTGAGTGTTCATATATCTGTATTTTAGGAAATTTTCTTCCATTTAGGGTAATTTGTAGTAGAGGACTTCTTTTACATTTCATTGAAAAGATGAATCCATTGGAAAAAGTCCCGCATAATATCATTGTACTGAGGGTTTCAAAGTGAATTATACTACATCAAATGAAATTCTCATAGAACTACATGCAATAAGTACAGCCACATCATGTAAATATATATGACAAGGTTGTATAGAAATAATGCATACAAAGATAATGACAAGGCATAAGTGTAAAAAGCTTTATTTAAGAACAAAAATTAACTGTTGGCATAAACTCACTAGCTTCTGCATCATAACACTGATGGCAGTATTATATTGGTTAAGCAAACTCTTTCTAAGCACATATCCAATAGACAATAAAGCGCATGCAGAAGTGAGTGTAAATATTTCATGATAGCTTAATCTCAGTACAAAAAAGGCCTTCTTAGAACATTCAGTGCCGATGACTTTGCCTCCTGCTGCCACTCTGCTTTATGGTGATCAATCAGATAGACATACTGCCTACTGCAGTTCGAGATGCAGTTTCAGCCCTTTAGGCTGATACCACAATTATACTTCAGGAAGAAGCCTATCTCATCCAGCAAAGAAAAAAAAAAAGAAGAGAAGGATGCAGACTAAGTTACAGGGTAATTCGGCACGAGTGTAGATTTGAAGGTAGCATTAGAAAGGTTATGTTACAGCAAAGTCAACAGCAGATGTGCTGCTCCACTATTACTATTCTTAGTTGCTTTGCTATGAGCACTGCTGTGGGGCATCCACCTGTTTTAGTTTCTCTCCCATGCCATTATGGTGCCAGGCAGTATTCTTTTCCATAACCATATTGGTCTCTGGAGGGAGAATTTAAAGGATTTTACCTGTGCAGTAAAGGAACATAAATCATATTCATTGTATCCAGGAAAAAAAAAAAAAAAATCCCACTAGTCATCAGCATAAGAAATCTTCATGATCTCCAGAAAAAGTGGATCAAAGATCAGTGTTACTAAGGAGAACTTTACAGATCATCCAGGATGCCTGGGTTTATTTTGGATTCTCACACTTCACAAAAAAAATGAGGGAGATAATATATGGCATGGTCCAAACCAATTACAGTTCCTCTGTAGTTTTTAATCCAGTGTCCCCAATTAACCGGACAGCAATTACAATGAAAGCAACTTTGAGCTATTGTGCATGTAGTAGGGGAACCACCAAAATCTGGCC